ATATATATATATATATATATATATATATATATATATATATATATATACAGCCATGATTAACCCTTACCCAACCTTCTACAGTGCTAACCCTTTGTACTGGTTGTACTGGTGGCAGTTGTTTTGTTTTTACTTCATGCAAAGCAGTTTGTGTTCTTGTTTGAAAAGTGCTTCATGAATAAAGTTGGATGTTTTGATTGAAGTGAAGCTGTAAATGGAAAAGGTTGTAAAAAGTTGTGTAAGGGTTAGACAGTATGCTGATGACACCTGACTCTCACAGGAATGATTAAACAGTCCTTTGTGTCACTAACACTAATCATCTGGAATCATATTTCACATTTTACTCAGTTTACTTTTATTATTATTTTTTATTTCTATCAATAACTTTTATGTCAATCTATAAGTAGTTTTAAATTTAGTTTTAAAACTTGTGCCTTTGTCAGCAAAGTAAACATAAAGTAAAGTTGTTTTTTAACTTCCATTTAGCAGAGTCCACAGAAACATGATGCACTGAAGAAGGAAAGTGCTTTTATTTTGCTTTTATCTGCAGCACGTTTTCTTGTGGCAGGGCTTTTATTTTGACGGATCTGGCCAGAAGTTGTTTTCATAATATCCCGCGCTTTGACGGTGTCAGTGAAGGAGGAGGGAGGAGGAGGAGGACAGAGGAGGAGAGAGGAGGAGGAGGTGAAGACCCTCATTGTTACCAGCTCCAGGGTCGGCGGCTCGGCGCGCGAACATCCAGGAAGACATTCAGGTAAAGTTGGTTTAATGTATCAGCGTCCCTGTGTGTGAATCAACGGGCGGAGTGCGTTTCGTGAACGGCAGCTTCCGTCGCCGCCCGGCTCGCGGCGGCGGCTGAGGACGGCGGTGTACGCTGACTCTCAGTCAGGACGGACCGACCGTCTTCTTTTGTTCCGTCCGTTAAATCTCCGTTTGATTCTTGTTCACTGCTCGAGCTGAGCCGCTTAACTCTCGTTTTACTGGATGAACGGAGCCACTTGGCGCTGGGGGGACACAAACCCAGCGCTGCCGGTTCTGCTCGTTAGCTCCGCGCATTAGAGGAGGAGCAGGTCTGATGAGGAGGAGCAGGTCTGATGAGGAGGAGCAGGAGGAGCTGCTCGTGGCAGGTGCCGGTTTATTAAAACGCATCATTCCAAGTTGAAACAAGCCTCGGCTTCTTCAACGTTTCATTAAAGCTGAACAGTAATATTCATGTTTTTAACTCATGGGACATTGTACTGAAATATAATGTTTCAGTTTTAAAATGGCGCCATCAGGCCGAGCTGCTTTCTCCTAAAACTACAAACTGTTTTACACGAGCTTCATTCAGAGCTGACGGTTTACAGCTTTCTCAGGACTGTGACAAGTTTTCTTTATTTTATTCTCATATAGAAGGTTTTTGTTGTTTAAACTAGGCACACTTACAACATTTGTGTAAAAACAAAGGGCAACCTTTTCTTAGCCACTCCTTTGTGTTTTAGTTTAGTAATGGACCTTTGTTAGTTTAAATGTTTCTCTTGTTCTCTGCAGGTATGAAGAGATGTTTCCTCACGTTCTTTATCGTGATCACTTTTCTTTTGGTTGCAGATGGTTTCTGTTCCCTGATGACCACCTCCCGCTGATGGAGGTCCTGTGATGCTGTCCGATCTCTATGGCGATGACCACCTCCAGCTGATGCTGTCTGATCTCCATGGCGACGGATGCAGCCAGCTTCAACCATCAGTACGTTGTGCTTCAACCTGGACGGTTTCTGTGATCTGAGCAGACGCTCCTCAGACCCAGAGCCGCCTCGGTCCTGGTGAATGAGCCTCGTGGTACCAGGTGTCAGCCAGCCGTCACCCGGGTCCGTCTCGTCAGCACAGACCCGTAATGGATCTCCTCTGGGCTCTTTCCGTGTCCATGCTGACCGCATGTGTAGCCATTCCCATGGACGCTGCGTCTGGGAGCCACAGCCTGTTCTCCTGCGAGCCCGTGACGCTGCGCATGTGTCAGGGGCTGCCGTACAACGCCACCTTCATGCCCAACGTCCTGAACCACTACGACCAGCAGACCGCCGCCCTCGCCATGGAGGTACGCCGCCTGCTGACATGTCACGGGCGAAAACATACAACATTTCCTTTGACAGAGTTTGTTGCAGACTGATGTGTATTCTGTTAAATTAAACCCTGAGAATATTTAGATTATAGTCATTTAATACGTATTAATTGGAAAGAATCCTGCTTTAAAATATTATCAGCAGCTCTGATCCTGCAGAGCAGCGGGTGGATAAAATGTGCTCTTAAAAACACTACACCTAAATTATTGTATTAAGCACTGATGTGTCCTAATAAATAAACAACAAATATAAATGATAAATGATCAACTATAAACTGAACTGTGAAGCTCTGGGTCAGAGATAAACCTCAGATCAGACATTTGCAGCACATGGAAATAAAAAATACAGTTTTATTTATAAAATACTGAGACTAAACTTTCAGTTTTTATTAAACTACACTCTGAAAACAAAAGAGTGTAAACACTTCTGCTATAATAATAGTTTTAGAGCAGTTACACACACTCTGTTTTATTTAGCCTGGGAGCTTCTTATCTTTTGTTTTTAGCAGTTTTTCTAGTTTTGTCCGCCATGTTTGTAGTTTCCAGGTTAGAAATGACAGCGAGCTAACGTGGTTCAGCTCTGACACACCACAAACTGAGCTGAGGCTTCTTTTTTAGTCTGCACGCTGTCTTCTCTAACACGCTGTCCAAACTAATTGTTTTCAAGTCTTCTAAAGAATCAATAATGTGGTAATCATCATAATAATCATAATAATATGCATAATAACATGCATAATAATAATAATAATAATAATACTCATAATAATACTCATAATAATAATCATAATAATAACCATAATAATAACCATAATAATAATCATCATCATCATAATAAACATAATAATAGTAATAATAATATGCATAATAATAATAATAATAATAATACTCATAATAATAATAATAATACTCATAATAATAATCATAATAATAACCATAATAATAACCATAATAATAATAATCATAATAATCATAATAATAAC